CTTTTTCTTTTTCTTTCTCATAATCACAATAAAAAACTGAAAGCTACAAACAGGCTGTCCCTTTCTTCGCCACTCGTTTGTTGGCCATCTTTTGCTTTTTTTAAGATTAAATATCTTGAAATATAATTTTATATTCACTTGTTACAAGGTTACTAGCCTAAAAAGGAATGTGAGTGAACTAGTGAAAGTAGTAAACATCTTTTTCTCTCTCATTAAAATCACTTTCTGGGGAAGCCCACATCTTGAAAATCATTTGTTTACCTCAAACTTGGTGTATTTATACATTATATGTATACATATGTGCGTTGTATGTACAATGTATGTATATGCCTCCTTGAATAAATACATAATCCATTATAAAGCGGATTTGGTGCAAACTAGAGCTTCCTCAATAATTTCCACTCTCCCTACTCTACAACTATAACTACTCTCTCTCTCTCTCTCACGCACACACATACTATTCCTGTTTATCTTTTGCCAGTTGCCATTATACTGATCCAGCTATAATGGAGTCACTGTCAGAGAATGAATGGCTGAGAAGACCATGTAAGTCTTCCCTTGTTTTAAGTCTTCTTATTCACTCTGTTAATTTAATTTTCTTGAAGTTTGTTCCTATTGTGCGTGTATGTATTGTGTTATCAAGCTTCACTTTCTTGCTCCAAGCCTTCGATTTATATGCATTTTGTCATTTTCTTTACAATTGGGGTAAAGTTTTTGGCTGCCTCTAAGCTTGATTGCTAAGGTATTCAACTCCCCTTCCTCTTTTTGGGTCACTGTAGACTTCTTCATCTTACAGTCTTTTTCTTTAACTCCCACCCCACAAAAAGTAATATTTAAACTTCTATTGCACCAGTAATTTCTTTTTGCATGTTATAGATGACCATTTTTTGTCAAGCTGAAGTTTTAGGTTGCAATATAAAATTTGGGTACTCCAAGCAATGATGTTTCTTTAGACCAAATATGTATAGCACAAAAAGTTCAACAAGCAATTCAATCTCAGATTTCAAGATTGATATTTTTATGGCTTGTTCTTCTGATAATCTTGTTTTCTAAACTTGATTAAAGATTGTTTTATATGAATTTCTACTATTGTTGCATTAAATTATGTAACATACAAAGGAAGCGGTGGCCTTTTTCTTTGTTTGTTCTGTTATTCACTCACTTGTATGATAAAGAAAACTGTAACCTGTGAGATTCAAAACTGAGGTTTATTTCTTCAATTGTTTCTACTTTTTGTCACCAGAAAAGCCAGTTTTATCTCACTATCTTGCCTGCAAATGTTTAGTTTTAATGTCTTTTTACGATAGCCCATCAGAAATTTGGAATATAAGGCCGCCTATTTGAACAATTCCTAACCAAATAGAAGCTGGATTTATCCCTTTTTAATCAAAGCTGGACTGTATCTTGATTCTTGAAGTTGTATTAATATGTAAATTTTCACTTACTAGGGTTAAAGGGAATAAATTTCACTTGTAGTATCAAAAACTCCTAGATCACATAAATATGAAAATAGTACTCTTCACAAAGTTGACCTTTAAAGATGGAAGCTCAAGTCTCAATATACTGGTATTAGAGCTTAATAATTTGAAACGAGCAATTCGATCTAATTAAGGCAAAAAGTAGCAATCAGATTCCATGATTTGTGTTCTCAAACAAGTCAATATTTTATGAGGCCTGTTAGTGGTAAAATATGAACATACAAATCAATATGTAAGGGATTTCGGATCAGTAATGTATAGCTCCCTTGTAAGTTTGAACCTAAAACGTCAATACTGAAAAGGTTGAAACACTAGTGTATGGTTAAAAATTGGATGGAATCATGCACCAGTTAAAAATTGTAAATGAGCTTTAGGATTTGTTGGCGCTCTTAAAGGTGAGATCTTGTGATTGGCATTAGCCCTTGATTGAAATTTTTTGTTCACACATTTTGTTGTGCTTATATGGAACCACAAAGTTAATGCTTTCAGCTTTTTTTACTTTTATGATGTGTTTTGTTATTCTCATTCAACATAGATGGTTATTTTACAAGATACTGAACCAGGTGGTTGATATTGAGTAGTTATATTACATCAAATTCTCATTCAATATGGATAGCCATTGAGGGACTCGTGGGATGCTTATAAAAAGAGCTTGATCGACCTCAAGAAATTTGTGGGTTATCCCGGGGGACAAAAAACCGAATTGGTTAATTTGGAGGAGATTTTACTTTTCAATTTTTTGCATACTGATCAAAATAAATAGTCGTCTCATCAATTTCAAAAGTGTAGAGATTGAAGAGGAGAAACTGTTAAATTCAGGAAAAACTGAAACTCTAAAGATTTTGAAATCCTTTGAGCCTATTAATGGCATCATCGTCGTTTTCTGGGTCATCTAAGAGGGCCAAGGCACCTGGCAACATTATCCAAGTCGCTCATTGCTCGGTTGATGGGTGTAATGCAGACCTAAGTCTATGTAGAGATTATCACAGGCGGCATAAAGTCTGTGAGATTCACTCAAAGACCCCAAAAGTCATGATTGGAGGCCGTGAGCTACGTTTCTGCCAACAGTGCAGCAGGTAAATATGAAACCTGTTCTTTTCAGGGGTTATTCGTTCTCATGGACTATTTTCTTTTCTGGTCGTTTATACATTATTTGAATTCTTTCAAACTCATCTGATCCTTTAGGGATCAGTAGGTTATTTCATTAAACCTCTGTTTGGATGGATTGACGAAAATTTGTGAACTTGGTATAGCCGTTTGCAGCCATTTTTTTACATTCATATACTTTTAGCTTGTGATCTTTCTTTTCAAATAATTTGAGCTCTCTCTTGTATCATGTTAAAATAAATTTTGGAGCAGTCAGCTTTTCTTCTGATTTAGATCATATTCAAATGAAAGTTTATTGAACTTGCTCCCAAAATAATGCTGCATCTAAAGTTCTAGACCTTCAATGTCCAGGATTGATTCCAGTGTGACTACAATCTGTAATCCTTTTGTTGGAAATTCTTCGTTAGTTTATTATCAGCTGAATAAAAGCTAAAATTCAATCTCAAGAAATTTGAGTGGATCTCGTTGAGTTGTGGAGCCATAAAATTGTTAACTTTGGAGATCAATTTGAGCACTTCAATAAAATTTGAACTATATTTACCCTTTCCCCCCGTCTAATTCCTGGTAGCTTTACAAACATGAAAATATTGTATAAATGTGTGTGTTAGAACTCACGAAGATAAATCAGGTTTGCAAAAATAAGAGCCAAGCAATCATTTTGAGGAAACTGTTATGGTATTTGCTTCAATACGGGCTCTGTTATGCACCTGCATTTTCTTCTTCACCCCATCTCCTGGGGTATAATATTTATAATAATTAGAGAGGTTTTTCTTTAAATCTTGGATTGTGTAGTTTGTGATTGATAAGAATGTCATTTCCCCTCGATTCAGTTTAGATTTTAGTTTATCATATGTTTTTTTGATGTCCCTTTTGTAGGTTTCATTCTCTCATAGAATTCGATGAGGGAAAACGGAGCTGCAGGAAACGACTTGATGGTCACAATAGACGGAGAAGGAAGCCTCAGCCTGACTCTGTCTCAAGAACTTCCGGATTGGTGTTTCCGAGTCAACCTGCTGTTTCAGGTTCAAGACTTCTGTCATTTAGTACCCCACTAGTACTTCCAAATACCGTCATGAGCTCCTCATGTGCTGGTCTTGTCAAACCCGAGAACGAAACGGGGCTGTATAACATTCAACAGCTCTCAAATTACATCGAGAGACAAAACTCATACCCGGAATGCTCTGCAAGTTATAAGGGAGTAAATCAACTTCAATTCGCACAAGAAGAAGCTTCCATCTATCAACATCCAGTTTTTTATCCGAATGCAGCATCCGCAAATACTAACATTGGCCCTAGTACTTTTTCCAATGGATTAAATCAAGTCGTTGACTCTGATCGTGCTCTCTCTCTTCTGTCATCGACAACCCCTGTAACTCGGGATTTTGGTTTGAACCATGTTGTTCCGCCTAAATCAATCCCCAGAGCAGACTCCTTCATTCATAACTTGCACTACAGCAGCCTAGGACAATATCAGTTCCCTCAAGAAATTGAAAGCAAACCAGTAGTTTCAGCTAGAGACTCCCCTGGTAGCAATGCCTCCAGCCTTCGTTTCCAGGATATGTTTCAGAATGGGACCGAGGGGACGTCTTCAAGTGGATCCCATCAAACGCTCTCATTCATGTGGGAATAAATTTAGCCAGGTTTCATTTGTTTGTTATTTCTTATTTTCTCACGTATAGTTATATTTGTGATTGCTTGTTGACTGATGTTAGAACCTATGACAGTAACTGCCTCTTGAGAGGATATGTTTATTCGCGTGTTCTTAACTTGGTTTTGATGCTTTACGCTTCCTTAACATTTGGAGTCGGCGTTGAATCTCCAACCTTTCGTCTTCGTAGTGTCTGTGTGAATATTGCTGNGATGCTTTACGCTTCCTTAACATTTGGAGTCGGCGTTGAATCTCCAACCTTTCGTCTTCGTAGTGTCTGTGTGAATATTGCTGAAAATTATCATCAACTGATCATGTGTATTGCAAATGAGGTACGAGGCACAATGAATTTAAAGAAGGAAAAGAGAAAGATGGGGATCCATGCCAAAAATATTGAATGAGAATTCAATTAGTACATACTTTGCATGTTAGGACTCGAATGTAAAGAAAACTTGTTACTCTCTTGAATATAGAACCATAACGCAGAATTTCTCTTTACCACCTAATCCAGCCATTATTTAATTGATGGGACACAGGGACGAAGCCAGCACCCGACAAGTCTCTGTGGCCGCTTGTGTTGGCTCCACCAAATTTCACCCTTTTTCCTTTTATCTAGAACCGTTCGTACTCACCTGAATTCACTTGTGCTCACTTGGATTTTTGCATTTGCCAGTGATAGGACATGAAAGCATGTATACTAATTATATTCATTCCTCTATATTTAGTTTCTAGGTTATGCTAATATTACGTGTCCGGGAAATTCTTTTGAAGATTGCTTTTCATCTAAACAACCAGGTGCAGATCCAGGATGAATTGGCGGGGGGGTTTGCAATTTTTATTTTTTTTTTCTTTAATAGTTCATATCATAAAAAAGTGTTCAAATCTAATTAAATAACATACACAGGAATATATCCAGATATCCAACTTATCTGATATTCCATAATTTATATTAGTAATAGTATAATTAGTTAAAATAAACTAAAGGACCGCCTCCCAACTAAACGATTCAATTCTATCTCAAACTTCTAATCTATATATAATTGTCACCTTCTAATTTATATGCCAGAAAAGCCTCTGATTTTCACTTATTTTTGGCACTTCCAATCATATTATGGAGACTACCAATCTTAAGCAAGGGGGGATCATGAGAAGTAAGCTGGTTATGTCCTTCTATAGGGCCGCCAAGCCTTCACCGGCCATGCAATGCACCGTTGCTGCCACCACCACCACCATTAAGTTGCCTACACAAAAGGTAGCGTTCACAGAGAAAGGCGATTTTGGTGTTTCAGAAGGCTATGTTCATGGCCCAAACGGAGGCGCCGGGGATGAACTTGTCGATGCCAAAGCTACAAGCTTCATTTTTCATGTCAAAGAACGTCTTCGACTTGAAGAAGAATGAAATATTTATTATTAGTAAACAATATATATAGTTGAAGGATAAGCTTATATTTCAGGTGTGTGAATCTTTGCTTATGGGTTGCGTGTGAATGTTTGAACAAAAAAATACAAGGAGTCCCAAGTTTTTCTTTCATGCAAGGGTTATGTTTACCAATTAAGCTTTTGAAAAACTAATATTAAAGAAGAAAATAAGTTATTTATGTTGTGTAAAGTGATCGAAAAAAAAGAATATTAAAATCTTATTTGTTGTACTGTCCAATATTACTTAACACGGCATACTATAAATATGACCTTTTTACGTAGGGGGAAAAAATGGATTGAAAGTAATTGAAAAATGTGTGAATTATGAATTTCCGCAAATAATTTCATGTCTCAATCCTTTTCGACACTGTAGTGTGCACCAAGTAAGTCTAGATATTTCTTGCCGCCATTATTGACAATATTTAAAAAAAAAATGCAGCTTTAAGTACTTTTATATTCCAATCTTGTCAATAATGCACGTGGAATATATTCCTACAATGAATAGACCCGAACAAAGAAATAGTCACGTTTTAAAGGGGGATTTCACCTTTAGCAAACTTGAATTTACCATATATTTATAGTCCAACATTTTGCAAGTTCATGTTATTAAAAAACTTATATATACATACATTTCATTTTACCCATCTGCTTTATATTTTATTGAAATTGTTATTACATTTATGCTATAATTTCAGTTTATTTCTTCTTCATTCTTAAGTTTATCCTTTTTCTATATTTAGCTGATATGATTGAATATACTTAACAAAACAACATAAATACATGGTTTAGAACCAGAACTATTTCTCCTACATAAATTTGACAAATAATCGTGACTTTTCTTCCCTGTTAGCCTCTCATTATTTGAGATTATAAATTTTGAAATAATGTTTTTTTGGAGAATATGTGGTTAAAAAAAAAAGAAAAAATTTGATTTATGTGCAATATTATTTTATTAAATAATGTGTGGTTAAAAAAGAGAGAGAATAATATATTAAAATTTTAATGGAGAACAAATAAGGCTTAATTTAAGTTAATCCAACGCTCTATATCTTTTGAAACTCAAGTGGTTATAACAAACTCTATCATAATCAATATTTTAAAAATCGGCCTGAGCATCGACCAGAAAAAGATAAAGGGTCAAAGGCTTGAACCAGATTCAAAGTAAATACAAATTCATTTTTGTTATTTCGATTTGTTATTATATAATTAGTCTCAACGCTTCAAAAAGTAATAATTAATTTACTTTTTAAAAATCAAAATCTTTCGAGCTTATAGAATATGATTTCTAACATTATTATGTTAATAATGAAGTGAATTTAAATTAAATTAAAAAATTTATAAAAAAAAATTGAGGTGAGCATTACAATTTTACTTTATTTAGGAACCAAAATCAAATGAAAATTGAACGGAAGTGAACAGAACCAGCAAGCATCCAATCGCACATCGAAACTTTCTCTTGTAATTCAAAGGAAATGTGTCTATAAAACCAAACCACCAGGCATCTGAACTTAATTAAGGGGCTTTGACTTTAATTAATAAGCCGAAATTGAAGTTAAAAAAAGTTTGAGATTAAAATTTCAAAAATCGGAATAACTGGCACTGGTTCAATAAGAATTTTTTTTTTTTTTTTTCGGTTGTTATATCCGATTAGTAACATATGAGCTGTCCAGCTTTAATTCAGGTTCCTGTTCTTACTGAATGAATCGGCTGGGTTGGTTTTAATAACATTGACTTATAATTGGATTGAGTGATGATTATTTGTCGAATAATTGTATCATAAATCAAATTTATGAGTAAGAGAAACGATCTGTTATAACAATTCATTAATTACTTTATGTTGGTTGTTTTATTAGTGTTCTTTTAATTTTTATACAATACTATTAACATTCGAATTATGTTTTATTATTATCATAAATTAAAATGTAACAAATTGGATGTTTAAAACCTAGTTTTCTTTTAAATTTCAAATTTTTTTAGTGAATCAATTGGATCAACCTTCGCTAAGTCGGTTCTCAACCTTTAATTTGAGAGGTTGCCCTCTTTTAATTATTGAGTCCATAAACAAATCCTTAGGAAATGGATATGCCATTACTCTATATTATACAAACTTTAGTCTATAACTACTTTTGAATTTTGATTTAACTGGACACCTGACAAATATATATAAATGAATATAAACTTATCGATTTGTGACTTCTGTAAAAAAAATTAAATGAAAAAGGAAAAAAAAATAATAATAACCTGAAGCAGAGGGGAAAGAAAAGAGAAGCACAAGATAAAACATCATCTCTTCTACCATTCCCATCCCATATGTCCCATCCCAATTCGTTCTTTGTGCTGGCCTGTCTGCTGCTACAACAAAAGCTAAAAATGGAATATTTACTCCAAAAAAAGTACCTTTTTTGTCGGATGATTTTAATCTAAAAATTGCTGCTATAACAAAAGTGAAAAATCTAAAGATACAAAAAGTCCAAAATGACGAGACATTGTCTGTAATTTTCACTTCAAAAGATTGCATGTTATATATAAGAATCGAAAAGACCCCGTACCTCTCCACCATGGGCGGAGCCCAGTGGAGTCCAGTGCGGGCATATGCTCGCACTGAACGTTTGGGCTCAACCCCATAGCCCAGATGATTTTTTTTTCTCCCTCCAATTTCAGCCCATCAAAGCCCACTAGCCCATTAACCCAACATGATCACCCGATACCCATAAAAAAGATACAACCCATAACCCATTCCCAATTTCTGCCATTAAATTGAAATTATTGTATCAATTCAAGAATTTCATTTTTCAACCACCTCCCGTCGCCCGTCTGCACCCTACTCTGGTGCCGCCTCAGCCTCAACCAATCAACCTCCTCCTCCTCCTCCCTCTGATGACAAACTTCTATCTTGCTTAGTTGCTCCGTAACAGTAAGGTGTCCTAGTCCCGCCAGTCTTGAACCTCCGTTGAAGGGTTGCAATGTTTTGGCTCCGGTTATTCTTCCGACGGCAATCGACAGTCCTCACAGCAGAAGAAGAAGGTCTGATTCGTTTGAAGATGAAGCCCCGATTTTCCAAATTCCACCAGCCCTGAATCCCGGATTGGCTGATTATTCACTAGCTCATTTTGATTTTTTTTTCTTTTTATTTTATTCTTTTGTTATTTAGATTTATGTGATTTGGTGGGTGTTTTTTTTTTTTTTTCCCCCCCTAAACATATGGAATTAGGCAATTAGCAACTCTTCAATTGCTTGAACTAGAAGCCACATTGCCATTTGCCATTGCTTTTACACTGTGAGTTGCTTGCTTATTCTCTGTTACTTGAATTTTGAAATAGTATATATTGCCTTGTGAATCTGTGAATTGATGAATGTGTTGGCTTGTTGCCCTGTGAATTGCTTATAATATTGGTATTGCTATGGCCTATGTGAATGGAATTGTCCTGTGAATTACTTTGCTTTGCCTTTTCTTATAGAATTGCTCTCATTCCCAATAGAATTTTTATTTTATCATCATTAAATCCATTACCAAAATCTTGACGTTTGGCGTCGAAAATTTTTTGCCCGCACTGAATTAAAATCATGGCTCCGCCCCTGCTCTCCACTAGCTAAAAAAATCTCATTTAGGGATGATAAAAAAAAAATCCGTCAAACCCAATACCCGCAAGACCTTGCCTCGAACGGGCGGGAACTACCCCCTTAATAAGGTATTCGGTT